AGGTGTGGCTGTTGGGGGAGGCTGGAGGCCACATTGAAAAAAAAAATAGTAGTAGTTGTAGTGTGAATATTATGTTCATTATTAAAATCATCAAGATCATCAGCATAATTATTTCCTTTTTCAATCATAATGAACCACAATTATTAGTCACACTAACCTAATCATCACTCACACCACGAACTACACGCCCCGGCCCTGTTATCGGTGCAAGACAGTGATACACACACTCTAGGACCCACCCTCACCTCTGATGGCCAAGGAGTGTCGCCCCTTACGTAGACACCTTCATAATGGCTGGCCCTCCCTCCCTCCCTCCCTCCTCCTTTAAAGGCCATTCTCTCCTCACCACCGACCTTCTTGGTGTATTTTGATGAAGGGAAAAAAACAACAACTAAATTTTCAACCCTACGGAGGCCTGAGGAGGGTAAAGTGTGGTCTGGTGGTAGTGATGGTGGTAGTTGTGTGGTTGTTGTTCATGTTGTAGTTGTTTTAGGTGGTGATAATGTGGTTGATATTTTTGGTGGTGGTGTGGTTGTTGATGTTGGTGTGGTGGTACTGTTTCTTGTTATTGGTGGTGGTAGTGTGGGGTGGAGGTATTGGCAGAAGTAGTGGTGGTGGTGGTGGTGTGGGGTGGATGTAGTGGCAGAAGTAGTGGTGGTGGTGTGGGCTGGAGGTAGTGTCAGAAGTAGTGGTGGTGGTGTGGGCTGGTGGTGGTGGTGTGGGCTGGCGGCAGTGGCAGAAGTAGTGGTGGTGGTGTGGGCTGGAGGTAGTGTCAGAAGTAGTGGTGGTGGTGTGGGCTGGAGGTAGTGGCAGTAGTCCTCGAGAGGCGAGGACCCTACTCTGCCGCCCTCCCTCCCTCACAGCCTCGGGTCGGGCCCCTGAACGCTCGTTACCAGTTTTTTTACGGGTCACTTGGCGAACGATATACTGCGGAAATGCCTCCACTCGCCATACCCATTGTAGACAAAGAGAGAGAGTAAAAGAAGAAGAAATATAACGAATAAAATAAAAACACGAACACAAAAATAGAAATACCCTAAATAAAAACAAACAAACAATCAAATATTTATATCCATCATTCAAACTAACATCAGTAAAGTGAAATACGATAAACAAGACTTAGTAAATAATGGTTAAAATAAAGGACTATAGAAGGTAATGGAGTCGGAAACGAAAATCTGTGGGAGGTGGTGAGGCGGCGTCCCGTAAAACTGGCTGATATTAGAACAACTTGGGTGTGGGTCGCTCTTATGACCCGGGTGTGTCGTGTCACTAGTCGCCTACCCCAATACCCTCACCCTTACATCCCTCCCCCTTCTTCTCCTCACAAAACGTCGCTTCCTCACTCTCCTCTCGCCTAACTCCTCTTCCACACTCTCCTCCTCTCTCTACTACTCCTCCTCACCTAACGCCTCCTCCTCCTCCTCCTCCTCCCATCATACCTCCTAATTTACTCTCCATTAATCCCTCTTCCCCAGCACCCCACGCCTCCTGACGCGAGCAGAGGACCTTGTCACCTCAAAGCTACAAGCAAGAGATTTGATTTTTCTCGTAAATTTGAGAAGAGAAGATGTTGTTCCTCCTCTCTTGCTGCTTCGGCATTACCGTTAATTAGTTGTCTTGTGAAGGGAAGACTAAGTATTTTTTTTTTAATATTGTGAAACATAATATTCACTGTACACGCAGATATAAACACACACATATATAATTAATACATACACATACTGTATACATCAAATTTAACATACATACACATATTGTATAGGTTCACACACTAGTTAATATAATGCACACACACACACACTTTACCCTTCATCATCCACACTTCACCCACACTTTCCCTCCGTCACTGGCAACCCTCCCTCTATCATCCACACTTCACCCTCCATCACCCACACTTCATCCTACATCCACACTTCACCCTCCATCACCCACACTTCTCCCTCTGTCATCCACACTTCACCCTCCATCTCCCACACTTCATCCTACATCCACACTTCACCCTCCATCACCCACACTTCACGCTTCATCACCCACACTTCACCCTCCATCACTCACCTCCACCCACTTCACCCTCCATCACCCACACTTCACCCTCCATCTCCACTCTTCATCCACATCTACACTTCACCCTCCATCACCCACACTTCATCCCTACCCACTTCATCCTCCATCCCCCACACTTCACCCTCCATCACCCACACTTCACCCTCCATCACCCACTTCTCCTACCATCACCCACACTTCACCCACCATCACCAACACTTCATCCTCCATCACCCACACTTCATCCTACACCCACACTTCACCCTCCATCACCCACACTTCACCCTCCTTCACCCACACTTCATCCTCCATCACCCACACTTCATCCTACACCCACACTTCACCCACCATCTCCCACCTTCACTCACGCTTTACCATCCATCAGTAGGGTGAAGCACCATTATAAAGGCGTGTGTTTAGTGGCGCCAGTGTCCCCTCACCTCCATGCCACCCTTTCAGTTTCCTCTTATAGCCCGTGAGGAAAATGGAGGGTGTTATGGTTCCCTCCTCACCTCACCTCACCTCACTCATAGTCCCCTCGTTCCCTTCACCCTGTGTTCCTTCCCCTCATCCTCTTTTGTATCGCCCCTCACTCTTTGCTTCCCAAACCCCTTGTTTCCCCTTCAAATTTAGATTGCCCTCACTCCTCTTTCCCTTCTCCCTGTGTTCCCCTCACCCCATTACTTCTTCCCCTTATCCTCCTCCTCCTCCTCATGTCTCCCTCCTTCTAATGTCTCCCCTTCCTCCATATCTTCCATTCTGTTCCCCTCATCTATTTATCTTCTCCCTCTAACACTCCCCTTTCTTCCCTCTCTTAGTTCCCCCTAACACATTTCTCTCCAGCTCGTCCCCTTTCCTCATCTCTCTCTCTTTTCCTCCATACCACCAACATCTATCTCTCTCTCTCTCTCTTACCTCCTTCACCACACCTCTCTCTCTCCTTCAGCCCCTAACTTTCCCACTTCCTCTGTATCTCTCTCCTTTTCTCTCTCTCTCTCTCTCTCTCTCTCTCTCTCTCTCTCTCTCTCTCTCTCTTTCTCTCTCTCTCCTCTCACATACACAACTCACCTGAACTTGTTGATGGCGACTTCACCGAGCTCGTAGAACTTAATCTCCTCCGCAAACACATCAAGCGGCACGTTGACTGGCCGTCTGAGTCTGCCGCCGCTCTGGTAGTAGTACAGGATGGCGTCGAAACTGGGCCGGTTGCGGTCGAAGAAGTACTCATTCCGTAAAGGATCGAAGTAGCGGATTCGACGCGCCGGGTCGCCCAAGAGAGTATCCGGGAACTGGTTCAGTGTCCGGAGTTGAGTCTCGAACCTGAGACCGCTTATCTGTAGGGTGGGAAGAACACGGAGGTTAAACACATGGGTTAATAATAGTTTGTGGTCGTTTTAACTTAGTATGATTTAACTTTGGTTTAGTATGTGCGGTAGTGGTGTTGGTTTTTGGTCAGCGGTGGTAGTGGTTGTCGGTCTGTGGTGGTAACGGTGGTAATTGCTGTTGTGTGGTGATAGTAATGATGGTTGTTGGTCTGTTGTGGTAGTGGTGGTGGTTTTTGGTTTGTGGTGGTAATGGTGGTAGTTGTTGGTTTGTGGTGGTAATGATGGTGGTTGTTGGTCTATGGAGGTAGTGGTGGTGGCTGTTAGTCTTTGATAGTGGTGGTGATTGTTAGTCTGTGGTGGTGGTAGTGATGGTGGTTGTTCGTCTGTGGTGCTGTGGTAATAGCAATGGTAGTTGTTGGTCTGTGGATGTAGTAGTAGCACTAGTATGTGTGTGGTGGTAATAATGGTTATACAAATAGGTACAGTATACATATAGATATAGATATACATATACTGAATTACTTGAGTACAGTAAATGAGAAAAAGTTTACAAAAAATAATAAGAGAAACTATAACAGCTATTTAAGTGAAGGTAAACTCATGGAAGTGGTCATAATACAAGTACTATAATTTTTTTTAAACATTAATTATATTCAAGCTTTCAAATAGCATTATTATTTTAATTATTCCCGAACAATTAAACATACTCTTAAGAAGTAAAACCCGTGTAACAGACCCTGGCCTAGAGGAGTGACGGTCTGTGTTACTGTCACACACATACACACACACACACACACACACACACACACACACACACACACACACACACACACAAGTTGTACTCAGCAGCGGTCATCATGTAGCAGGTAGTGGAGGAGAATATTAACACGAGCATTGTCAGGAAGTACCAGGACATGTTGTGGGGGTGGAGTAAGAGGTGGAAGGGGGTAGGTGTACTGTCGCCAGGTGTGATAAATAAATGATGAGAGACAAGAGAAGAAGAGTGAATGGGGCGAGAGGGGAGGAAGAAGATGGGAGGGATAGAAGGAGGAGTATGAGAAAGATGAGTGGGAGGAGGGATATGTGAGAGACACGAAAAAGGAGGAGGTGGGATATGTGAGAAAGGAGAAAATGAGAAGGGGGGTGAGTGGGTGGAGGAGGAAGAATATGAGAAAGAGGAGGCAGGTGAGAGGGAGAAGGAAGGTGAAAGGGGGGAAGGAAAACATCGTGGGGGAAGAATATGGTCCTCGTGTCCTGCTGAACAATTAAAGACTGTGCAGTACTGAGGATAAGACGCAGTAGTGGTCACCTGTGGAGGAACGCAAAATGTTCTCAAGACGATTAACCCTACAGCTAATTTCACCTTAATATTAACGACCCTTACGGTAGCCTAAACCTATAGCCTAACATAACCTAATCTAACCTAACCAAACCTAGTCAAACCAAGCTTAATCTAACACAGCATAACCAAGTCTAACCTGACACAATCTAATCTAATCTAAGTGAAATAAGTTGCGGTGATCCCCTCCAAATTTTTTTTTTACTAAAACAAAAATAACAATTGCCATAATAACCAAACTGAACATTAGTGATGATAGAAGTGAAAAAGCTTACTTAAAATAGTATTGGATAAGAGAAGGCTAACAGAGACACTGCCAGGAGGAGGAGGAAGAGGAGGAGGAGGAAGAGGAGAGGAGGAGAAAGAGGAGAGGACAGCAAACTCACACCCTAAAATCTTCAAGAAGAACACTGCCTCACTCAGCACGACTCCAGGAACGTACAGTGCAGTCAGTCAACCAGACCAAAATATGTAGTCAATATATTTTACAATAATGAACACACACACACACACACACACACACACACACACACACATACACACACACACACACACACACACACACACACACACACACTCCCTGGAGGAAAATAGAAAATATGACAAAATTATTTAACAAAATCTTATGGAAAAATATTCAACATGTTAATTATCTCTCCATCACCCGGCACAATTTTAACCATTAATATAAGAAAGTCTCAAGTTAATTTTCATATGTACGATATTTTAACATTTACCTTAACCTGTTATGTCAAATTCCTTACGTCTTCACTATGAGGTCTTACGAGCCGTTATGATTCAGACATTGATAACAACACGAGGCATGGCATATTATTTTAAAGTCATGACTGGTTATCTTAAATTCGTGTCAAGTTACCCTAAAGTCATGACAACTTATCTTAAAGTCATGTCAACTCACCTTATAGTCATGTCAACCCATCTTAAATTCATGTCAACCCACCTTCTAGTCATGTCAACCTACCTTAAAGTCAAAGACACCTTACAGTCATGTCAACCTACCTTAAAGTTATGTCAGCTCACTTTAGTCATGTCAACCCACCTTAAAGTCATGTCAACTCACCTTAAAGTCCTGTCAACCCACCTTAAGTCCTGTCAAACCACCTTAAAGTCATGTTAACCCACCTTAAAGTCATGTGAACTCACCTTAAAGTCATGTTAACCCACCTTAAAGTCATGTGAACTCACCTTAAAGTCCTGTCAACCCACCTTAAGTCCTGTCAAACCACCTTAAAGTCATGTGAACTCACCTTAAAGTCATGTCAACTCACCTTAGAGTCATGTCAACCCACCTTAAAGTTTGTCAACTCACATTAAAGTCATGTCAACCCACCTTAATGTCATGTCAACCCACCTTAAAGTCATGTCAACCCACCTTAAAGTTTGTCAACTCACATTAAAGACATGTCAACCTACCTTAAAGTCAAAGACACCTTACAGTCATGTCAACCTACCTTAAAAGTTATGTCAGCTCACTTTAGTCATGTCAACCCACCTTAAAGTCATGTCAACTCACCTTAAAGTCCTGTCAACCCACCTTAAGTCCTGTCAAACCACCTTAAAGTCATGTTAACCCACCTTAAAGTCATGTGAACTCACCTTAAAGTCATGTTAACCCACCTTAAAGTCATGAACTCACCTTAAAGTCCTGTCAACCCACCTTAAGTCCTGTCAAACCACCTTAAAGTCATGTGAACTCACCTTAAAGTCATGTCAACTCACCTTAGAGTCATGTCAACCCACCTTAAAGTTTGTCAACTCACATTAAAGTCATGTCAACCCACCTTAATGTCATGTCAACCCACCTTAAAGTCATGTCAACCCACCTTAAAGTTTGTCAACTCACATTAAAGACATGTCAACTAACCTTAAAGTCAAGTCAACCCACCTTACAGTCATGTCAACTCACATTAAAGTCAGGTCAACCCACCTTAAAGTCAGGTCATCCCACCTTAAAGTCATGTCAACCCACCTTAAAGTCATGTCAACCCACCTTAAAGTTTGTCAACTCACACTTAAGTCAGGTTAACCCACCTTAAAGTCAGGTCAACCCACCTTAAAGTCATGTGAACTCACCTTAAAGTCATGTCAACTCACCTTAGAGTCATATCAACTCACCTTAAAGTCATGTCGACCCACCTTAATGTCCTGTCAATTAACCTTAGAGTCATGTCAATTCACCTTAAAGTCATGTCAACTCACATTAAAGTCATGTCAACTCACCTTAAAGTCAAGTCAACCCACCTTAAAGTCATGTCAACCCACCTTAAAGTTTGTCAACTCACATTAAAGTCATGTCAACCCACCTCAAAGTCATGTCAACCCACCTTAAAGACATGTCAACCCACCTTAAAGTTTTTCAACTCACATTAAAGTCATGTCAACTCACCTTAAAGTCAAGTCAACCCACCTTACAGTCATGTGAACTCACCTTAAAGTCATGTCAACCACCTTAGAGTCATGTGAACTCACCTTAAAGTCATGTCAACCACCTTAGAGTCATGTCAACTCACCTTAAAGTCATGTCAACCACCTTACAGTCATGTCAACTCACATTAAAGTCAGGTCAACCCACCTTAAAGTCAGGTCAACCCACCTCAAAGTCATGTCAACTCGCTTTAAAGTCATGTCAGACGTGAGCGTGACCAGATTACAGGAATGACATTTTACCTCAAGTCGAGAAAAGTAAATAATGAAGAAGAGTTAAATTTACGAGAGAAAAAAAACACTAATATTGTCTCCAAACTTAGTAGTCACGTGACCAGGTTGATGACGTCATGGGTCACGTGGGATTAAGTTGCACGTAAATACTAATGATAAGTTGTAAGAACCTTGGTAGTCACGTAACCAAGATGATGATGTAACCAAGATGATGACGTAACTAAGATGATGACCACAATGATGACGTGTCTAATACGATGACCACAATGATGAAGTGACTCAGATGATGACTAAAATAATCACGTGACTAAGATAAAGACTACAATGATGACGTGACTGTGATGATGACTACAATGATGACGTGATAAAAATGATAATTAAAGTCACTCACAAAAATAATACAAACAGGTAAGTATATCAGAGTTGCTGCTTTTATTCACCTTTTATTAATAATTAACTTAATATACTCATGAATGATCACCCAACTAACTTAACACACTCATCAATTTATTCGTCGTCGTAAAATTAAAAAAAAATACATCAATTAGCATTCATTAAAACGAACAAAAAGAAGAAATTAAAAATACATGAAACAAAAACTCGTATAAAAACTAAAATCCCTAAAGTTGAAAACAAAATTGAATTAAAAACACAATAAATCTTTTAGATCAGGAAGGTAAAAGTAAATCAAATTAATACTAAAATAATATTACATCTTATCCATGAAAACGGAGAATAAAGAAGTGAATACATTAATGGCCGACCTGTGGACAGTGGCCTCGCGTGTCAAGGTGTGCCACAGGTGTCACCAGGTGCTGAGGTGAGGGGTGGGAGGTGAGGTGAGGTGGGGGGGGTGGAGGTGAGGGAGGTGGAGGTGAGGTGGAGGTGGAGGTGGAGGTGGGGGGGGTGGAGGTGAGGTGGAGGTGAGGTGGAGGTAGAGAGAGGGTAAGAAGAAGGAAGGAGAACAGGGGGTTGAGAGAAAGAAGGAAGG